CAACTAAATGATGATGAAAAGATTATTAATCTTCTATCACAGAAAAAAATTGTTGATGAGTAACAATATAACTTCACAAAACCAAATTTTGTTATTTTTTTTATTGAAGCTCACATACATTTGATTTTAGCATATATCTAATATTAAAAAATAAAAAACAAAAAACAAAAACCAAAAACCTCTCTTTCCAATCCCTCGTTCTCTCTCCCTTTTTTCTCTTTTAAAAACAAAAATAAAAAATATTCAAACACACAATGTGCATAGTCATATGCTAGTTGCTAGTTACTATCTCCCCCAAAGAAGTTAGAGAAAATTTCTTATAAATTGTCCTTCGTTCATCTATTTGTCAACTCATTCTTCAATTAACTCACCATATTCTAATTGTTATTTTGAAATATTTATATCTTAAATTTATCTTAAAATCTTTAAATAAAATATATAGTCGAAACCAAATTGCTAACTTAAAGAAATAGCAAGTAGCGTTATAAATATACTAGATCAGTTGCTACTTTTTAATGGAAAATGTTATTAGCATTCCAAATTTTATTATACACTGTTTATAAGTGTTTTATTCCTTCTAATTATAAAAAGTTTGGAGTGCCAAATAAGATTTTTGAAATGTTGATAACAATTCTCTTTTTAATTTGTAAATCAGATTGTTACCTCTGTTAAAAACGATGGTTTTTTTTTTCACGTGGCATAACAAATATAATTTTATTATTCAATTCCTACTTTCTTATAAAGAAAGTTGAGGTTTAACTATAAATCAATTTACAATATAGAAAGTGGCTCGAGTTACTTATAAGCTCATGTAAAGTCTCTCTTCCCATCTATGTGAGATCCATTTTCAACACACCTTTCACACGTATGACAAATTTTCAAGTCTAAACATTGGAGCACATGTGACCGTTGACTTTCACCTGTGAACCAACCTACCATGATATTATAAAGAAAATTTAGAATCCACTATAAAAACTAATTGATAATATATAAAGTAGCTTAAATTATTATATACTTACGTAAAATTTATCCTTCTATTAATGTAAAATTCGTTGTACTATAAAAACTAATTGATAATATATAAAGTAGCTTAAATTATTATATACTTACGTAAAATTTATCCTTCTATTAATGTAAAATTCATTCACAACAACTCAGGAGATACTACATAGTACGTAGAACAATAGAAGGTAAGTTGCGTCCTTAAAAACGGTAAAAACCTGTCACATATCAGTGGCCAAAGTTTGTTCATAAGCCCACATCAACTTTCCAATGGAGTGTCCGCAGTAGCTATTACCTAGGCCTAGGCTTAGGACTGTCACATTAGGCTTAACATTGGTAAAGCCAACAAAACGAAATACTCGACATACGAACCCCAAATAAAATTTAGAAAAAGCAGCGAAAAAGATTTGAAAATTTTAAGTTTTAACGATAATAATAAAATAAATAATTTTAGATTTGACTTTTTAATGTAAAAATATGATTTTTCATTAAAGTAAACAATATTGTAGATTTTTAGTTAAAACCCCCATAAATTTTACGATACATATTTATTTCTTCAAAATTAAAATTGAATAGTAAGTGATTAAAATGTTCTTGAATTTTGAAGCTTGAAAAAAAAAGGAATTCGCCTTTTTAAAGTAAAAACTAAACCCGAAGCATCTAAAAATTGGTGTAAGATAGTTGAACCAATTGGTTAATAATCCTGATCATTTGGTATAATGGGATATATTAAAGTTGTGCTACTCAACCATCAAATTACTTTCTTTTTTTTTTTTTTTTTTGCTATTTCAAATTGAAGAGTAATATAAAAAGAAAACTAATAAAAAAAGTTTAAAAACTTTAAGTTTTAACGATAAGGATATAATAAAAGATAAAATGAATAGTACTAACATTAATTTTTTAATGTAAAAATATAATTTTTTATTAAAATAAACAGTACTATAAATTTTTCGTTAAAATTCTTTAAAATAAATTCGGCCTATTTCTAGGTTCGCACTCACATTTTGACATTGTTTGGATACAAAACTACTGATATCACTTTTGACAATATTAATGGTGAAACTATAGGGGCAAGTAACTGACAATGACAATTCAACATTATTTGATTTGATTAGCTGCCCAACTCGAGGTTTTTCTTCTTACAATTTGCAATGTAATATAAGGGTTTTGACTTTTTTCAGATCATGTTACAAATCGTTGAATTCATTAATATATTTGGATAACGGATCTTAAATTTTTGTGTTAAAAGACGAACAAGTCATATGACTCGTCTGACAATGTAGGCCATTCCAGTAAATAAAATTACACGCAATTTTTAGTTTCAACCAAGGGCCAAAACAAATATACGAAGACCATCTCAAACCAAAGATTATGTCATTTTTAGCCCTAATTTGCAAAATTTGTCTCCAGCAGCCCCCACTCATTTAAAAAAAATGTATAGTTGGGTTTCAATTCTCAATAACCAGCCCTAATTAAATTATAATTAAAAAAATTGGTAGGCAGCTAAATTAGTCTACCGTTTTTGGATCCAAATGCCCTATCTGATAATAATTTAATTAAGAATTAATTTAATTGTGCCTTCCCGTTTTTCTAACCCTAGATCGTTAATCCGTAAAAAACTCATCACACCACGTATGACAAAGCAATTATAGTCCTCAACGTCTCCAGATTTTTCCTCCCCTTTCATTCAACCAAAACTCAATTGAATTTGGAGTGTTATAGACAGTTGGTGTTCAAGTAATCAATTATTAAAATTCAACACAAGAATTTTACTCCACAAGGTATTCTATACGACTTTACTTCATGAATTTGTTTTTGGCATTTCAATTTAGAATTTAGCTTTCTAATTTAGAGATCAATGGATGAATGATAACATGATTATTTTTATATAAAAAGATATTTAATGGTATTGGTAATGATATTGTTATACAACGTTTTCAAAACATGAAAACGATTCGAGGAATATTGTAATATATTGTATGAAAAACTTTATGGATTAATATATTAGTGTTTTGTTCAATAAATTCTTGAGATTTTTAATTGTGACTTTGTTATTTGAGGATACCCCCGCTCATACAAATCTCTGGCTTCGTCCCTGCAACAGTGCCAACATGAATTTGTTAAAAAGAATTAGGGCTAAGTTTAGTTAAGGATAGCCACTTAGTACTATTTGTCTAGTAGTATTCTTCACTTGTAGGTGAGGTTTTATGTTCATTTTTCGCTAAAGGCGAATTTGAATCATATTATTATGGCTGATCCATTGTAATGATTAACTCACTCTCTCACTTTACTATAAATAATATTGTTTGTTAAATAAATAAATAAATAAAAGGTTATTCAAGTACAGACTATGTATACCAGGCTTCCAAGCTCCTCAACAGCCCCAACATGTGTATCACAAGCCAAATAACAAAATTTGACTCTACATGGCGGGAGATAAACAAATTTAATTCTACAATATTATTTAAAATATTAATTAAAAAAAAAAACTAAAACATAGCTAAAGGCTCAATATAACGGAAAGGGATCATCTTCAGATCCATTCCACCTAATCCTTCTCATCAAACAATTCGAGTCCTTAAAATTTGATTAAACAACTAAAATTATTATAACTTTTAAAGTGGATCCTTGTTTGTAACCGTTGTATCAAATTTCAAAAGTCCAGATTATTTAATAAGAAAGATTAGATGAAATGGATCATCATATGATCCCTTTCTCGATTTAACTTAGAGATGGCCTGAAAAAAACCAGGGCTAAATTTAGTTTAAGGCTAAATACATAAAGCCCTTAAGCCTATCGACTGTTGATTGTCTTTAACATCAACGTTAAATTTATTTTTCACTAATTAATAGTAAGTCCTTTATTCTATTAACCTTTCAACAATATTTTAAGTAAAAACAACCATTAAGATTTGCATTAATAATAAGATAATATTTAACAATTTAATTAAAAAAACATAAAATTGGACATAAAACATTAAATTGTTACATTAACCGAACTGTCGTCATTTGACATTTCTTATTAGGTATCGACGGGCTTCAACATCTTCATTTCACGTGAGATTGGAAAAATTTAGGCTGGTATGATTGGAGGTGGATAAAACTGGTGTTCGGTATTCTTTGGGAAAAGATTCTCGCCGAATATTTTTCATCGTATATCGTGCGATTATAAATTATTTTAAAATTTAAAATTTAAAATTAAATATAAATAGTATCTAACAAAAATAGATGGTACGATATACAATCAACGGATGAGATCACGAAATTTCTAGAATCCGTAAGAAAAGGATCCGGCGAGGATCCTTTTCCGTATTCTCGAAGCTTCCTACATGACTGGAGACGGCATTAAGTATGGGTCATCGGTCGCGGTTTCTGGCGGTGATGTTTTCAGACATTGGCATTCGATACCGTGTCGCGACTCGCAGACAATGACGACTTCCCACTACTCCAAGCGCACGTTACCCTACACTCCTCTCTCTCTCTCTCTCTCTCTCTCTTCTCCGTCTGTATAAACTCAAAAAAGGAGAGATAAACTCCAATTCTTAACCTTGGCTTGCACACTTGCCCTGCACCTTTCCACCATCCCTGCTTTCTCAACGTCAAATCAAATTCCCGCACGTCACCTCATGAGGGCACAACGGTAATTTCGATGTACAAAGATGCCTTTTTTTCTTCCTGGTGGTTGGCTGCGGTTGGAGAGTCCAGTTGGTGATGACTGTAGAGGATTAAAATCTCACTCAACTTGGAAGCTCGGAACTTGTAAAGGCAAAACCGGAGGGACAAGAAAAAACCAGGTACTCTCTGCAAAACCGCCTTTTTCTTTTTCCCTCATAATTTTTTTGTTTTGTTTTTATTTTGTTTTTGTTTTGTTTTTGTTTTTACAAGTTTAAAGATATGTTATCGTACGCCAGGGAGCGTTGGGACCCTTAACGTACGCCCCCCCCGCAGCCCCCAAAGTGGTAAAAAGGTGCAGTCTTGCAGTAGAAATAGAGAGAGAGAACGAGAAAGAAAAGAGGAGAGATAAGACTGAAAATACAGAGGAGAAGAGGCCCCAACCACAGAAACAAAATCTTTGGGTTAGTTTGCTCGTACTGGCCAACCCAAGATTTCCCATTGATTAGACTCGAGAGAGGGCAAAGCAAACCAAGCTCCAAGGAAGAAAGAAGAAAAGCTAGAAGCTGCTCAAACTCAAAAAGCTTATCAGAGAAGAACACAAGGGATGCACTTTGTGGGTACCCAAAAATATACATATATATATTTATATTTTACTGTTGTGAGCTCAAATATGTGAATCGTTGGGTATTTTGGGTGGTGGGTTATGAAGATTGTTGAGGTTGGATTTGGTTTTTGAACAAGTAGGGTTAGGGTTGTTGGATTCTAAATGGGGTTTGTTGGATCTAATATTTCTGGGTTTTTAGCTTTTAGGGTTTTCAAGTAATAAAAAGGAGATTGGGTTTAGGTGGGTTTTGTGAAAAGGGACAAGGTTTTTGGATTCTATCTGTTGGATTTGGAGATTGTTTTTATATTGCTTATTGGAGAGAGATCTTTCAATCTGCTCCTGCAAGCAAGCAAACAAAGAAGAAGAAGAAGAGAGAGAGAGAGAGAGGTGCAATATTAAAGAGAGAAGATAAAGATTTTATCTTTACCTTCCTTAATTAGCTAGATAGGTGGTTCAACCGTGGTTGTCGTTATGCATCCAAAAACAGAAAGAGTGTAAAAGCAAGAGCTCGGATTTGGATTTGTTTCCTTTCTTGCTCGGATTTGGATTTTGTTTTCTAGGTTTTTTTTATTCTATATTTTCCCAAGATTTAATTATAAGGCCATGGCGAATCGATGGTGGGCTGGAAATGTTTCCATGGGCGGAGGAGGTCATGTGGATTCAATCTCCTCGACTCCGCCGTCTCTCCACCTCAGAAACACCGAGGAACAACTCGACGACCAAGACAACACCACCACTACTCCCACCAACAGCAGCACCAGCCCTCACAAGCAGAACAACAAGCACCACGAAGATGGTCGGGACAACAATGACCTGGAAGGCGATGATCAGGGCCCTAACACCGGTAGCGGCAGCCATGACAGCCTCGAGCCAGGAAGTAGCAACCGGAGGCCGCGTGGCCGCCCCCCTGGTTCCAAAAACAAGCCCAAACCGCCCGTTGTCATCACTAAAGAGAGCCCCAACGCTCTCCGAAGCCACGTTTTGGAAATCAGCAGCGGCAGCGACATTGTAGACAGCATTGCCACCTTTTCTCAAAGACGGCATAGAGGCGTCTCTGTCCTGAGCGGCAGCGGCATTGTCGCTAATGTAACTCTTCGGCAACCAGCAGCGCCAACTGGAGTGATTACATTGCACGGAAGGTTTGAGATTCTATCGTTGTCAGGGGCGTTCCTACCTGCCCCATCACCGCCTGGCGCGACAGGACTGACCGTGTACTTGGCGGGCGGCCAGGGGCAGGTGGTGGGAGGCACCGTGATGGGAGCATTGGTGGCTTCTGGTCCGGTGATTGTTATTGCAGCTACGTTCACAAATGCAACATATGAAAGGCTGCCACTCGAGGAAGAGCAAGGTGGAGAAGGAGGAATGCAGATACCGCAGGAACAGCAGCAATCAGGTGTGAATTCGGGATCTCGAGGTGTTGGTGAGAATGCTAGTGCAATGGCTGTTTACAATCTGCCTCCGAATTTACTTGCGAATGGCGGTCAGATCCCTCATGATGTTTTCTGGGGTCCTCCCCCTCCGAGACCTCCATCTTACTGAGACAACAAAGATTTAGAGAGAGAAAAAGAGAGATTTGGTGTGATCACTGACTTGTTTTTTGGTTTTGTGCAAAAATATGTTTTGGCAGCTCTTATAGGCGCAGCAAGCAAAGGTAGGAGATCTATTTTGTTTATATCTTTTGCTTGTTATATCTCAAGTCTGTAGTTTTGATGTTAGGTTTTATTTACTTTTTCTTTATCAGTAGCTTTGTTTCGAAACCGGTGGATCATATGAATGTATTTTGTTCGTTCGATCTTTCGTTTAATTATCTGTAGGGGGAAAGAAGAAGAAATAGTCAAGAAGATGGAGGGGTTTGGAGCTATTGAAATTTCCATTGCAAATTGTTTGTGAAAATTCTTCGTTATTGGTAAGCTTTCCAAGAGTCTTTCTATGCATTGCTTTAGTGTCTCCGGTTCACTCAATAACGTCCCATGGATTATGAATTCTTAAGCGTGTATGCACCGTTAAATTCAGTAATGTATGCCAACCGTTGATCTTCTGCATATTGTCATCGGCATCTTCCCAAAAATGTCGTTTCATGGATAATTATTGAAAGTCGAGTTTCCAGTTAAGTGCATGCTCCGACAGGAGTATCATTGAGATTTATTTGGACGGGAGATAACTTGAGAGCAGGTTGGTATCGTTGCCTTTATGCTTGCCAGGTTTTAGGGTTTAGGGCTGTATGATTTGATGGGTCGATCGACAGATTTGACAGTGTGTAGAGACTTCCTGTTTGGTCTAAGAGAACTGTTTACATAATTGATTCCTCTTTAATCCACGAGAAACATCTTGTTTATACAAGGATATGCTCATATATGAAGAATAATATAGTGCCATAGTTCTTAGTTAAGTTGTTTAGAGACTTTAGGATTATGGAGACAATAGGGAGTTCACAGATGACAGTTCCCAATCATCCAAATTGATTGCATGTCGAGTAGTATTCTAATTAAACTACGGGAGGAGGATTCGAATTTGAGTAGGGAGAACTTTAGTCAACTTGGCTACGTCAGGGTCTGTAAATTACTTACATGCCTTTTGTTTAATAGAATTTACTCAGATGATTGTATGTGCTTTCCTTTGATGTTTGCAGTATTGATCAAGTAATGTTTGAGAAACAAGAAACTTTGGATCATTGGTACAATTGGATGTGATAATTTTTTAGATGAATTTGAGATGGTGTTTGGTTTAGAATTAGATCTTTTTGTTTTTTGTCATTCTCCTTTTTTCCTGACACTTGTTTCTTTAAACAAGTGGTGAAAGAAATAATTGGTGGTGTTGGTCGCCAGACTTGACTGTTTTAGCTCATCAAGTTATTTGGAGTATATTGCCATTTGTTAGAAGAAGTGAGTTGTTAGGATTTATTTTGTTTAATTTATAATATTTATTTAGGTGACGTCAAGAAAAAAAATGGTGGGAAAATTTCACTAATGTCAATGCATGATAGTCAATTTGCATTATTTGGAAATTTGACACGGAATTTTGTTAGCTCATAGGGAAATGATGGCTATACGCCCGATGTCTTTCTACGCATTTCTGTTTAATCATGTTTTTATCAAATCAGGTGCTTAGAAGTAAAGAGAGGTGTAGGAGAAAAAGTGTTGTGAGATTATCATCTCCCAAATATGTACAATGGGGATGTTATTATAACGGTATTCTAAACTACTCATATATACATTGCTATGCGTTTTGACTTTCTTATAAAATACGATCAGTGGCATATATTCCGCTATAATTTTGGGGTACTTTCCTTTTTTGGTTCTTCACCAACTCCCCCCTCCGAAGGAGGAAAAAAATGTTGGTCCGGGTCAAGGGTGGTTAAACAAGAGTATGGTAGTCGCCAAGTTGGTAAATCAAATTGAAAATTAAGGACAGGATAAGGAGCAGTTAACATCTCCAAGAATTCAATTGACTTCTGCATGTGCACTTTCTGAAAGAAAATGCAGCGTCATGGTGTTTTTCTTCTATTTCTGGATCAGCATGAATTGACTGAACATGCAGGAAATAAATGTACACCGCAGGAACATGACCGATGACTGAGTCATGTGTTAGGACTCGAAATACATCGAAGGAAAAGGATAAACACATTCCACGTATCCCTCTTAAGAACTTTTAAAGAGGGGTGTGCAAGTCCAAAAGGGGTACGAAAGTCAGCTATGAATGTGGATGTTAGCAATCTTTGATTTGGACTAGCAATCTTTGATTTGGACTATTTTTAATAACGTTTCTCTTTTTTTTTCTTTTTTTTTACGATTTTAGTTTATGATCAGAACCGTTTATTCTTACATCTTTGTTAATGAGTAACTACAACAAATTAACCATGCTAGAAATTTTATGTTTTTTACAAACGATGTTATTAGTGAGTCAAATTGTTAGTTGTTAAGAAAGAAAGGCATAATGAGATAGAATTTGCACCAGAGCGCAAAAGTACAGTCGTTTTTTGCCACTGCAATAAAGCATCATCTACTATGTTAGAAATTGTTAAAATGTTCCGATTAACAAAGTTAACACTTTTTAGTGTTTAATTATTATTTAGTTATAATGCTGAAAAAAAAGGACGTAATGGCCTATTTATTATAAAATGCTGATAAACTCACCCCTGTCTATTCTTTTTACCCACATTTTAATAAATAAATTAATATCAATTTACCTCATGTAAAATAATATTTAAGGACTAAAGCAAAAAAAGAAAAAAAAAAATCTTTTGTCTATTCACCATTTCACTGCAACTGTCTCAATTCTTTTAAATAAACATTTTCTTCATTGTTTCCAAAAAGAAAAAAACATTTTCTACTTTTCTAGTTTAATCACATATAAGAGTTATTCACAACATTTTACTAATAAAATAATGACCTAAATCTTTGAAAAATGAAATGAGAGACCAGAAGAAGAAATTGGGTTTGGACGAGTGGAATCGGATTATTGCGAATTTGGAAATGGGAGATGAGGATGAGATTTTGGGAATTCGGTATGAGGCTTAGTCGTGGGATTTGGAAGGGGGTTGCGTTGGTGGTGGAGAGGGAAAGAAGAGTTGCAATCAGTTAGAGATATAGGAACTGACCAAAATTTGAAATATTAACTGAAATAAAAATCGGGAAGGAAGGCCTTAACGGTAGGCTTATCAGCACTCTAATATTTATTATTCTAACAAAATAATTTAGATATATATTAGAGGTTATTTTAGGAGTAATAGTGGATGGAAAAATAGCACTTAAAATTTTTAATTTTTTTGTCAAAGATGAGATTATAATGTGAGTGAGAAACTAAAATATTGAGATGGGTCTAGTTATTATATAATAATAGGGAGATGATTAATTGAATTTGAATTTAGTTACTTCTTTTTGTAGAAAATACTTTTAAAAAGTAATTTGGAAAATAGAAGATTTGGATATCATATAACACTTACAGAGATGAGAAATTAAAATGAGAAGGTTGCTAGCATTGTATGTTTTCGTTTGTGCGTTTGGGTATTGCCAATCTTTTTAGTTGAGCTTACAAGGCCTTCCATGATTTGGAAATTTTGAGGGAAAAATGTTTAGGAGACTCTCTCAAAAGTTGGATTTTCTATGGATTCTGTGTCATCTCATGTTTTTGCCACAATGTTTTATAAGATTGGCATGAAAATTGATGTTAAACAGTAAGGTGATAAAGAGTCTATAAAAAGTCTCACTTTAAAAGAGTCTCATTAGAATTTGTCATTATGAGTTTGATATTTGAAAATAGATGAAACTTGGTATACTAAGCATGAAACTTTGAGTTGAATAAAAATGCATTCATTCTTTACTGTAATGCATTGATTGTATACGAAGGAGGTGGGGCAGTGGGTTAAGCCTACTGGGTAGGAAAGTGGGTTAAGCCTCACAATATGCTAGCGATAATGTGGTTCAAAATCGTCTTTGACGAGAATCGTATCCAAGGTATCTCACTTACAAGTGAAGAGGAATACCACTAGACCGTAGTACTAAGTGGCTAATTATATAAAAAGTTAAAATCATTACTATAACAATGTTATACCATTATTACAAATCAGGTTCATACCATTATATTAACAAGAGAAATGTTAGAGAGACCATTTAAAAAGGAGGACTCTCTATGAACCCTATAACACATTATGTTTTTTCACAATCATTTATAATATTAATACATAAATTAATGTTAAATTATCATGTTATAAAGAATTTAAAAAAAAAAAAAATCACCACCAACTGTGACCAGTGAGCCTTTGAGAGTCCCACCATAACACCATTACAGTGTTACATAATTCGCGAATGAAATTCATATACACAAACCGCGAGAAAGTTGGCACAGTTCTTGCCTACCTCAAACACAAAGTGCACTTAGTCGTTGGTTGAGTATCCCAAGAAAGTGTGCGTCCCACCAGCTTCGAGAAGTTGATGCAAGTACGACTATTTTAAAAAGGGATGTTAAATTTTGAACATAAAATTTAAATTTTGACAGTTTATGTGGCATTTTGATATTTTTTAAAATCTTGTTCTCTAACTGATATGTCAAATTAAATTATTAATTTATAAAATAAATTATTAAACTAATTAAAATTTAATAAAGGATATTTACAATTTAATCTGTAATCTGTTTACCTTCCTTGATTGAAAAGAAGAAAAAAAGTAGGATAATTGGATTGTTCAACTCAACATTAATTGTAATAAATGATTAAACTAATTAAAAATTAATAAGATACGTTTAATAATTATTAAAAAAACATTTGAAACTGCTGTCAAATTTAACAGCTACCTCTTTTGATGCAATTCATGTCATCGCCACATAAGATTTGACATTTCAATTGGAGAATATTCGTGGATCTTTTTTCACTGTTATAACTGATATGCACATTTTGACATTTCCTTTAAAGATGTTGGTTGGATCCATCCAGGGGTAGGTTGGATTTAGTTCAGGCTTGACTGGAACAATAAAGTTATTATTCAGCCCAACCTTTTTCTCTCGGTCGCATTATCAAGGTAGACTTGGTCCGTATAGATTACGCCGGTCTCAATCGTACACATACAAAGTCACATCATTCAATTAGTCCTTTTGGGGAAGGATTTTCATGAAATGAGAGTTGGAAAAAAATACCGAAAATTTCAAATCATATTAAAACTGAACCGAAAAAATACAGAACAAAAAATCTCGAAAATTTTGGTATTGGAATCGAATCAATCCTGAATTGTTTGGTATGGGATTCGGTCTCACACTTTGAAATAATCCGTATTCTAGTCTCGAATCGAATTTTACTAAATATTATATATATAACATTTGCTTACACACTTTGTCTGTATGAACATATTTTTTTAGAAAATAAGGAGAGAGAGAAAGAGAGCAAGAACGTGGGGGAGTGAGAGGTTTTTTTTTTAATATTGGAGGTATTTTAACATCTCCTATAAGTGATGCTTTAATAAAAAATAATAAAATTTGGATATATGAAATTACATTATTGTCCATTATTTTTTTATGTGATAGAAATTAATTTATCTTGTTATCATCTTTTGGTTGACAAATAAAATTTTATTAATTAGGATATATATATATATATATGTTGGAATGTGCAATAGGCTATTATTATATTATTAAAATGATTTAAGTTTGTGGCGTGCTGACAAAAGTCTTATCAAACACATGGGAATGGGATGGGTCACGGGTGCTTTTGCTTTCTAAAGACAGAAGAACCCTCTCTCTCTACAATTACAACCCATAAACCACCTAACCCTTTATCTCTCTTTTATTTTCTGTCTCATCTCTCTCTACAATTACAACCCGTAAACCACCTAACCCTTTATCTCTCTTTTATTTTCTGTCTATCTCTCTCTCTCTCTCTCTCTCTCTCTTCTCTCTCTCTCTCTACAACCTAGAAACCGGCACCTTCCACTCAATCCACCACCACCTAACCCACAAACGTCCTTACTCACTCTCTCTCATCTCATTTTGCCTTTCTCATCTTCCTTCACTCAGTCTCAGACGCTCTCTTTCTTTCTCTTGGATTCGAAGCCTCAGCAGCGACCCACTGTATGATAATCTCACTCCGATGAACTCTCTCCACGCCGGCCACCACCACACCTCACGGCTTCATCCCCACCTCCGGTTCTCTCCAGTGATTCTGTGTGTGGGATTTCGAATTAAAGTTAGGGTTTCGAATTGGGGGCTCGGGTCTATCTCTTCACTTTGTCTCTTTCTCGACCATCAATCTTCACTGATTCACTGTCACTTTGTCTCCAATTTCAATTTGGATTTTTAATGCAGGTTCGGATGATTTCAATTTCAATCTAGATGATTTGGATTCTGATGCAGGTTCGGTTTCGGGAAATTCCGAAATACCGAAAATATTTCGGGAATCCCGAAATTTCGGTTCGGGATCGGTCATGAGATTTTCGTCCTGAAAATTTTCGGATCGGAATTTGATATGCCATTTTTGGTTTAGTATCCCATACCAAACCAGCATTTAGGTACCGCTATCAGGACGTTACGATGGTGTTGCACTCATTTATGTAAGTCGGAAACCATTTGGTGGCCATAAGCAGCAGTATTGGATTATCGTTAATGTAATCTTATGTTTAGCACTTAAGGCTCAATCTTATTACTCTGGACTCAAATTTCGGACCCAAGACCTCCTAACTAAGCTGGACACCGACCTAGGACCTAGCACTTGAAGACCGAACCGAGGGTATCAAAACGCAACTTCAAATGATATTGTTCAATGAAGACACCTCTTTAATCTTATGTTATGCAAAATATTAACATTGTATGGTTATTAGAATGGGAAATTTTATTTAAACCCTGCAATCTCTTTTTACCCTCAACTTAAATTATAGATGTTAATTGTTTTTTTTAATCTCATTGTATAATTACCATCAAGTATAATATGAAATTAATAATAAAACCAAAATTTATCAATAATCCCACACACTATAATTAAACTCCACCATGATTTCTTATGTTCATTTCAGCTAAAATCCTATAATTTTTATAGAGAAAAACAAGTTTTTTTCAGTCCAAGGAAAGTGCTTCTATCGACTGTGCAACATTAGCTGTTGATAAGGAGTTGCAACCAGACAAGGTGAAAGAAAAATGTTAGTTTCCAACTGCAAGCTTTCAATGCACTATAAGGCTACTGAGGTCAGATTTGTTCAAGCAAGCATCGTATAACACATAATTGAAAAGTTGGTGTTTGTGAAACTTTTCAAAGCAAAAAAAAAACAAAGAGTACTCTCTCTTTCATTCAGCATGAATAGTCCTTTGCATGTCGTTCAGTGCAAACCTTACTCCAGAGGTACCCAAGTCCATTCTGAGATGAAGCCACTTCCCCCTCCTCTCTCTCTCTCCCCCCCCCCCCCCCCCCAAAAAAAAATTGAAACACTTGAGCTTCATCATTAGTGCTTCCAACAACCATTGGTACTGTTAGACCTCTTGGCCGCCATCTCGGTCTTGCATGCCCGTTCTTCACGCCATTACACAACCCATTTCTTAAAAACTCCGTTTGTAGACTTAACATCCCTGGAGCATCAAACACTTAACAGCTTGAATTTGATGCACAACTACTGTAACTACTTGGTGTTGGTGATGAGAAAGAGAGAGACCATGTGTATGCGTCGAGGATGGCGACCATGGAAACATGAAGGAGGTTGCATTTGTAGCCATGGAAAATGCTATAAATGGGTCTAAGGATCATTTTACATTTTGAATTGGGTTTGGGAGGATAGTTTAGGTAATAACTCTGGGTTTAAAGAGATATTAATTCTTTAATAAAAATCAATATGGGTGTAGAGAGAGGTTACATGGGTTCAAATAAAATTTTCCTTATTAAAATTGTCCTATCCAATCTAGTGCTATCCCATCTCATTCAATCTCCTAATGAAAATCCAATACAATAATGAGTACTAAGGGAAACCTTGGTTTTGAGGTTGATTTACAGGCCAAATAACTCAGAAGGAATGTAAACAAAGACGCTTATTCACTTATTTACTATTCACGGGATTTAAATATAAAATATCTCACTTATAATTTACAACTGAAGAAGAATATTCCTATTGGTCGAAATAGTAGATGGGAAAATCAATGTTGTAGTTTCCACCTTTACTAATAGTTTAGCACACTCCTAGTTATTACGTGTTGGTACGATTGAGGCATTTTGTATATAAATTCGTTATTTTCTCAATGATGAATTGCAGTTTGAATAAAGGAGAATTAGAATGAATAATGCTCGTGTTCCTAGTTCCCTCATCTATGATTAACGTATCTTCACCAGACGAACATAATAATCCAAACTATTCATTCTCTTTATCATTATCTAAAGATCGTATATGAGAAAATTCCTTCAATTTGGAGATCATTTAGTCATTCATGTGCATCAAACAAATGAACAATTCATTATGAGAATGCTAGCTACCTGTTATCAAAAATGTTGATTGGTGACACAGATAGATGGCTAAATGATCTCTAAATTGAATAATTTTTTGCACATCTAATCTTTAGATGATGATAAAGAGAATGAATGATTCAAATTATAATCATAGGTGAGGGAACAAGTAAGTTATTTCGTAAGGGAACACAAGCATTATTCAATTTAAAAACCACAGATTCTTCCAAGAAGAGATCATTAACTAGTAAATGGGCAAACCCTATCCTTGCCCAGAGATAGAATAAACAACAAAAAACCTATAGTGATGTCTTCTCCTCCAAGTTTACTTTCCAAAAAAAAAAAAAAAGGAATGTGCCTTTGTTACCCAAAGAATTCTGTTTTACTTGATGAGATCGTACTAGTGGGGACTAAAAAAGGACTTATTATAAAATTAAAGCATCTTCTAACTTTTGTATTAGATGTAATTATCAACACATTTAAAAGGTGGCAAATAGTGGATTGCTTTGATGGGTAAGATTTTTCTCTTAAATTCATTGCGTTGTGTTTTGAATTTAAACTCTCTCATTCTTGCAGTTTAGATGATTTTAATGTAACTTATCATATTATTTGTATAAAAAAAAAGACTAGAGTAAATTGTAGTAATGATCCATCAACTATGCTTCAATTGAAGCAATGCTCTCTTAACTAAAAATCCATTACCATTGGTCCATCAACTCATCAAAACGTGCAACTATGGTCCTTTTTGTCAACTATGTCAAAATGAGTCATGTGTCATGCATGTGAGACTAAATCAAGGAGCAAATATGAAAAATCAAATAAGAAAATTTGTATCAATGATCTCTTAACTTTAATCCAACTGGAGAAATTGTATCTCAAATTTAGCACAATTGGAGTAATGGTCCCTCAACTTTAAGCCAATTGTAGCAATGGTCCTTCCAACATAACTCATTTTGACAAAATTCTGATGGAGTTGACGAAAATGACTATAATTACACGTTTTGCTGAGTTGATAGACCAATTGTAATGAATTTTTAGTTGAGAGACCATTGCCCCAATTTAATTAAAGTTGAAGGATTATTGATACAATTTACTAAAAAAAATATGAGATAAAAGTTGCTTCCGAAATTATCAGTAATTCCCTTGTAAAAGTACTTAGGAATTCCTTCTAATTGTTGTCTAACTTTTATGTTTATTGTCTTATCCAGACAATGACATTTTTGATAGAAATGAAAAACAAAAAACATTCAATAAAAATTTAAGGGCTTTTCACATATTCATGTGCGTTTGCGTTTTAGAGCAATTTCAGCAGTCCAAGAAAAGCAAACGCAAGGGCTATTCTCTAATGTGCCAAACCCACCAAATTTCCTACAACGGTCCAAATAATGGAGGGCGAATTGTGATATTCTGCCTTAACTTTGTCTTACCATGACAAAATGGGAGAGAAAAATTTTAGTTGTGTTTATATCTTGCAAGCTTTTTATCCATGATAAATTTCACTTGTTCTTGTCAAGATTTGTTGTTTTACATGATCTGTTGCTTCGCTCATCTCTCGAGTGTGGTTGAATGAAATTAGTTTTAGGCTTGGGGTATTTTGTCAAGGAAAGCCAAAGGAGATTATTCTGAAGTATATAATTATTGTTTGGCTTTCCTTTTTAATTCTTCTAAATTGTACCACACATGTTCTACATAGTTTTAGGGTTAAAATGCTTCTTTTGGGATCATACTGCTAGAAATATTCATTTCAAGAGCTTAACTTCTCACATTAAAGGTTTGTTCATACATGTGCATTTCATGCTAATATTTCCAATTCATTTTGTCTAATGGTTCTATCTTGTCAAAATATCTCGCTGCTTGTCAGTTTGCTGGGCACATACTTTAAGACAACCCACATGGGTCAACTGACACTTTTTTCCAAGAGTGATTTTAACCTTAGATCTTTCCTGATTGTTTATGGACTTGGCTTGCTCCCTTTATCTGAAATATCCATGCCTCTCTTTCTAAAGATCATGCTAGGGTTCATTTGGTTTTTGAGGTTTGAGATTGGAAAAGTTTTTTAGAGCCTTATTTTCATCTTCATCCCAAATCTCCTAGGAGCATTAAACATATTTTATAGGTAATGTTCTTCATCGAATATTTCTAAATCTATCGTTAAAATTGGGCTTTTTAGTTAAAATGGTCCCTAAGATTTGCATAATACATAACTTTGGTTGTTGAGATTTAAAATCAATAGAAGTGGTCCCTGAGATTGTTCACCATCCATTATTTTGGTCATTCCGTTAAAAAACTCCGTTAAGTTAAGGGTATAACACATAACTTTGGTCCCTGAGATTTGCATAACATATAATTTTGATCCCTGAGATTTGCATAACACATAACTTTGGTCTCTGAGATTGTTCACCAACCATCATTTTGGTCATTCCATTAAAAAGCTCAGGGACCACTTAATAGAATTTTTTAATGGAAGGACTAAAATAATGGATGATGGACAATCTCAGAGACAACTTCTATTGATTTTAAATCTTAGGGACCAAAGTTATGTGTTATGAAAATCTCAAGGACCATTTTGGCTAAAAAGCCTTAAAAATTGCTTGCTTAAATTCATTTTATATGCTTATTTGTTTTGGCTAGGAGTTTTACATTTTCATGAAAGAGTTATTTTCAGCTTGGGGCTGCCTCTTTATTCTTACTTGAAAACCTTAGCCACAAAATCACATTCATGCACTAAATACCCACATCATTGCATATCAGGGTAGATTGTATTTGTGATTTTGATCTTTGTTTTTAGGTCAATTTTTCAAGTCTCAAATATTCAAATTGACATCTTTTTTGGATTTGTGTCAATTTCATCTTTCAAGTGTTTGACTGGTGAAACTGAGTAGACATTCGAACTTAGATCTGCATATCATTGCCATATCATCACATGCATAGTTTGTGTGTTGGTCTTGGTGCCACAAGGTAAAGAGTTCAAGAAGAGCTGCCATCTTGTGAAGACTAGAGACAACACTATTTCGGTGCCACAAATTGAAGAGCTCAGGAGGAGCTGACACTTAGTGAAGACTGAAGGAATTCATTTCGTGTAAGGCAAGGTTGCACAAAGGTAAAGCTGCTTCGTAGATAGGGATCTAGGAATTGAGCTTGTATGATCTTTGTATAAACCTTGATTATACTAGTAGATTGGACTCAGTGGAGAGTCCCCAATTTTTTAACCCATAGTTTGTGTGTTGTTCTCCGTGCCACAAGGTGAAGAGTTCAAGAGGAGCTATCATCTTGTGGAGACTGGAGACAACACTATTTTGGTGCCACAAGGTGAAGAGCTCAAAAGGAGCTGCCATTTCGTGAAGACTGAAGAAATCCACCTCATGTAAGGCAATGTGGCACAAAGGTAAAACTGCTCCGTAGATAGGGATCTAGGAATTGAGCTTGTATGGTCTTTGTATGAACCTTGATTATACTAGTGGATAGGACTCAGTGGAGAGTCCCTAGTCTTTTAACCCAGATGTGAGTTTTTCTGGCCAAAAATTTATTGTGTTT